GGGGGAAAAAAATTTTTCCCCCCCCCCCCCCCCCTTTTCCTTTGGCTTCTTTGGCGCCACCGCACTTTGGACACTTGGGGATGTCTCCATCGTTCGGCTCTTCCGACGGGCAGCCATCGGCTTTCACCCATTGAAGCGTGCCTCTCGCGACGAGCGTCGTGATGGATTGAAGGATCAAGGCGCCAGGCGCTTTTCTGGGCAGAAGGACGCGCGTCCCGAACGCACGCGTCGCGGAACGCAGGCGAGCCGATGCACAGCCAGCCGGGCCGGGTTTCAGAGTTGGTCTTCTTCTGCCAATCCATGCGCGCGTTCCGCGGTTCTGGCGTCGTCGGCGCTTGAACTTGGATCCTGGCGCCAGAAAAGATGCCACTGCAGCCAGAAGCTTGACTGCAGCTCGGCACCGCTCTTTGCGCATTGGACCCTCTCGGAGCTGCAGCTCGTGGACAAGGTGGCGTTCGCGTTGCCACGCCTCGCGCCGCTTGGATCGCCTTGGCCAATGCCCATGCCCATGCCCATGCCCAGGGCCTTTGCGACGGCCAGCGGTGCGCAATTTGCCCACGCCACGCTGTGCGTAAAGTGGCCGGCGTGCAGCCGTCGAAGGCTGCGATTCGTCTCCTCATCCACTCGACTCGCGCTGGCGCAGAGATTCGTAAAGCTGTTCCGCCGCTTCCACCGCTCTCCTGGGCTCCGTCGGCGGTCGCGGCCGCTTTGCGCGCATTCATTGTATGCAGTACTTCCCGTAGCCGAGCTGCTGCCCTCCATCACATGGATCACATGCACCCGGCCCTGCAGCGGCGTGTCTCACGGCTCATTGCGATGGGTCTCACCTTTCCATATATGCCTCGCCCCCTCTCCGCCAACGGCCGTCCTTTCCATCATCTTTCCGGCCCCTTTCCGTCCTTTCGTCCTTCCACGTCCGTTGGGTGTCGCTCCTTGCGCTCTTGATTTGCGAGCACCATCGCCATCCTCTTCACCATCATCGCAACGAGCTTTGCACATCTCTGCGCAGTGTGGCTCGCTCCCCTTGGCGCTTGCTCTCAAGCCCTTCATCGCTTGCAGCGCCACAGTGGCATACACTGCGCAGAATCTTCCGTAGCCGCCGTGTCTCGTTCCTGCTCTTGAGTCCGTGCTTCGGCTCGTTCGGCATCGTCCTCGCGACCCCGCCACGCCCATTGTCGCTCCTCGCTCGGCCCCCTCGACCTCCTCGGCTTCCCACGCTCGATCCGTTTTCGCTTGATCGACCCCGCATCTCCTTCTGCGCTCGGTCCGCCAGTCCTGCACAGTTTTCCCGTCCTGTCGCCCTGCGTGCTGTCAATCTTGGCGCGCCCAGCCTGCTCCAGCGACCATCATGGCTTCCCACCGAGTTGATGCTGACGCTTCGATTCATCCCTTTGCGGTACGAACTCCGACCCTTGCTGCAAACTCTCAGCCCCACGCAGCCTCGTCCCAGCCGCTCGCACAAGCTCGAACAAAGGCGCAGCTCTCGCCCGCATATATTGCCACCATCCGACGCCGCCGCACCCGAACCCTCGACCTCGACTCCCACCCCAGCATCCGTCCAAGGTCGTCCTCGGTCTCGCGAAGATCTTCCAGAGCATCTACCGTCTCCTTTGCGCCTACCATCGCCTCGACTTCCGCATCGTACCTCGACATCTCTCGTCTCGCCCCTCTTGGCTCGCTCACCCTCTCTCGGAGCATGCCCCTCGTCGCCGTCGAATCCTCGCCACAGACAACCCCAAGAGCCGACGCCGGCCCTTCTCGCTTCCCTCTCTCCGCCTCGCAACCAACTGGCTCCAAGATGTCCACCAAATCCCACACCAAGCGTGGCTCCATGGTCGGCGCCCTCAGCGTCGCGGACCGCGCCAAGGCCTTCCAGTCCGTCTTGGCCTCTTCGTCGTCTTCAGCAAACACAGTTCAGCGCAACGCTCGCAAGGCGGCAGTCTCCTCCGGCTCTGCATCAACCTCGGCCTCGGCCTCTGACATCACATCTCCGTCGACGTCGGCAGCATCGTTAGCGGACGACTCGGAAGAGCTCGTCGCCACCATCGCCACCGCTCGTCGCATCAGCGTCGCCACCCCTGTCCACCGCCGTGCGCGAAGCGATGTCAGCGTCCTCGACCCCTACCTCGCACAAGACCTCGCTGCCACCGCCAGTGCCAAGCCTGCGCACGAGCTCGTCAATCCTCCCACCATCCGCACTTCCTCCTTTGCCGAGCTCGACGAGCTCACCGCAAAGCTCGAGGCCAACCGTCCGCGCAGCCAGACGCTCGCCCATCCCGTCCGAGCCAACCGCGCCAACGCACACCTCATGCACAGCATCGCCGAGGAAAGCATGCACCTCCGCCTCTGCTCCTCCACCGAGACCATCCGTGCCAACAAACTCGCTTCTTCGCGCCGCATCTCGCGCTCGGGCGCCAGGACACCGATCGCCAACGCTCACGTCACTTTCCAGGTTTCTCCATGCCTCTCGGACGACGGCTCGATCGACTGGCATTGCTTCATCAGCACAAACTACGGCGTGCCCCGCACCATCGACGACTTTCGCCAGCCCATCTCGATCTCCGATCTCGCCGTCCCCATCCACGCCGGCCGCAAGCGCGAGTACCACTCCAAGCTTTCCAAGCCCGACAGCCCCACGCTCAACGACGAGGCCACCTGGCTTGAGGAAGAGCTTGCTCGCTGCAGCAGCGACGAGGACGACGACGACGACGAGTACGACGTGGACGGCTCCCATCGCCCTTCCGTCGACGAGGAGTTTTCGACGCCCGACGGCAGCCCTCTCCTGTCGCCCATGGACCTCACTGCGCCTGGACCCGTCGAGATCATGGGCCTGGGCATTCAGGACGCCTCGCTCCTCCTGCCCGGCGCTCCAGAGCACCAGCCCAACAAGTCGTCCGACTCGCTCCTCGAGCAGGTCGCCATGCACGAGGCATGCATCCGAACGCTCCACACCATCTCGCAGCACGACACGCGCGACCACCAGCTCTCGCAAGGCCTCCCACCCATGCCCGATCGCAGGAGCAGCCTTCTGGTCCCCTGTGCCCAAGCAACCACGCTGCGGGGCGTGCCCTCGGTGGGCGACTTTAGCAGCACCCAGGCAGGCGCAGCGGCGCTGTTTGGCGACGACACGTACGATGCCTCGATGAGCCCCATGGCCGACATGGGCCACGGCGCGCTGAGCGACGAGCCCAGGAGCACTTCGCCGTATCCGCGACGCGCATCGGCGGCAAGCTACCTGTCTACCGCCTCGACCGCCTCGGCGGATGTCTCGACGGCTTCGCACGCTTCCAGCCTGCTCTTCAACGCACACCTCGCTGCACCCGGCATGGCGCGAGGTGGATCGGCGGATACGGGATTCAGCACGCGTCGCTCGTCGGTCGCCAGCAGCTACACGCACGACAAGGCGCCCAACAAGCCGCCGCGCAGTCCTCTGCGCCTCAACGCCACGCCGCTGCCGCCGCTGCCGCAAGAGGCGTGCGAGACGCCCCAGCCTTCGCAGTACGCCGAGGCGCCGCAGCCGCGCAGTCCGACGCGCATGAGCGCCATGCCTCTGCCGCCGCTGCCTGCGAGCGCACCGTCGGAGGAGGGCGACAAGCCGCGCTCGTCCAAGGAGTCGGCGCGCGTGCTGCGCCAGGCGAACCGCCGCAAGGAGGGCACCAACCTGCCCCAGCCACCCGCGCGCCACGGCAGCCTCGAGGCCATGGTGGCTGCAGCGCCCAAGGAGACGCAGATGCGCGAAGAGTTCCCCGAGCGTCTGCTTGGCGACTGGATGTCGGCGCGCGACGACACTGCGACGGCCGAGGCGGTCGAGGCGTCGGCGGACGAGCGCGCGTTCAGGGTGGAGCCGGTGCCGCTGCACAAGCGCATCCTCAAGAAGGACGGCACCACCGTGCTGCCTGGCCTGGGCGAGATTGTACCGCCCAGTCCCGAGGTGACGGCAGCTGCGTTGATGTCGGCGCGCGATGTGCCCGCGTATCCGGGAGCGGCACAGAAGCGATTGGGCGTCGAGACTCTGCCGTTGGCCGGTGCTGCAGCCCAGCTGGCCAAGCCGGCGATGACGCTCAAGGGCAAGCTGTCGGGCCGTCGACTGGGACGCGCATCCACGGAGGAGGGACCGGCGAGCATGGAGCGCAAGACGAGCGAGTCGTCGCTGCCCAACGTGCTGGGCCGCATGCGCAAGGCGTCGAGCCGAAGCGAGTCGGACCGATCGCGCGTTTCGTCGTCGGCGGCTTCGGCGGCTGCTGAACTGCCCGCAGCATGGAAGGACCGCATCGTGGGCACGCGTCCGTCGATGGACATGCGCCGACCGAGCTTTGCGTCGCTGGTGTTGTCGACTCCCTCGTCTGAGGCGGGGGCTGCCTGTGCGTCGCCGCGGGGCAAGGTTGCGACGCTGCTGCCCGGAGCGCGCGACGAGATGCGTTCGCGCTCGAGCCTGGGTCTGCGCAAGATGCTCAGCTCGATCACGGGTACCGACGGCGCTTCGAGCAGCGAAGCCAACCCCAGCGGTGGCGCTGCCGAAAGTGCGGGCCGGGTGTCGCTGACGCTGGAAGCGCTTGCGGCGACGACGTTCGAAAGCCCCAAGTCGGCTCGCGTGGCGGGTGGGCGTCGAGGGGCCCAGCACAAGTACGAGTCGTTTATCGAGCTGTCGGACGACGAGACGAGTTCGAGCGTCAGCGCGAGCGTGAGTGGGGCGACGTGCGAGAGCTGGGAGAGCGACATGCTGTCGCGCAAGCGCTCGGCGCGCAAGGATCTCACCAAGATGTTTGGCGCCTCGGAGGTGGATCTGGCGCAGGGCATGCGTGGTGGCGAGGCCGATGCGGACAAGTGGACGGCAAGCGTGGGGCGTTCGGGAACCAAGAAGCGCTCGGTGCTGTGGTGATGCGCAATGCCCAACTGTATTTCTAGCAATGGCGGTGTGAGTGTGTGTGAAGGGTAGTGGTGCAGCTTGGCTTGTGTGAGCTGCAGAGCTCGCGGTTTTGGCGTTGCGACAAGGAGCAGATGCCGGGAGCCTCACTGGTGAAACATTATTTGAGCCTGGCTTGGTGTCTGTCGAATCGAGCGGTGTCTGGCAAGGCTGCTCGTGCGTGGGACCATGGATGCTGTGCTGAGCGTCATGGCTGCGCGCCTTGCTATCCAATGCTTGTGGATCGATGCACGGGCTCGGAAAGTCGCCCGGCGTGGCTCACACCCGAGTGTGCACCTTGGTTCTCCCATCGGTCTAGCCCTGGCCGCCTCACTGAGATCCAATCTAGCCCGCTTTGGTGGGATCAAGGCGGACGCATATGGACAGCCGACGCGCACAGCGCCACGAAGCTCGCCACATACTGCGCCTCCTCATCCTGGGCGAGAAGCGAAGACAAGGCCGAACTGGTGTTGCACGGATGCAAATAAAAGCTCGGTAGTCCGGAGCGCGGATGGTCACCCACCGAGACCGGCTGCAACGCCTCACCCAGATGCGCAGCGAGCGTCCCCGCGTCGTGAACGATACCGACGCCCTGCAAATCGTCCAGACTGATAGGACGATCGTTGAGCGTAGCGTGAAAGTAGAGCACGGGCACACTCCAGACGGGCGACCAGTGGATCGATTGTTCCAACTGTATCACTCTGCGCGTCGTCGTCGGGGTATATGTGGCATCGTCCGTATCGTCAGCCACTTGTGTCGAAGCACACATCTCGTCTTCAAGCGCGTGCTTTTCCTCTGCAGTAGTGTTGTGGTGGGCGATGATGGCATAGGACCGATGCAGGCCTGCGGTGCCGCTAAAGGCCGGACCGGGAAGCAGGGCGTCTTGCCATGTCCAGCCCGGTGCGTACGACGCCCACGACAGCTGGTGCTGCTGAGGCGTGCTAAGCGCATCGCGTTGGGCGAGGTAGGTGCAACATGCACTTTGGAAGTCGTCAAAAGTGATGCGTGCCGACGCCATGCTTGAGCCTCCCCCCGACCACACCGTGTGGCGAGAAGACAAGATGCCAGGGAGCGAAGAGCAAGGGCCAAGACCAACACCTCCACTAGCGCCGCTTTTCAGCGTGTTAGATTGCGAATCTGGCTTCCGATGGATGCCGATCGAGCCGATGCCACACGCGATGCGGTGCACGCATTCGGGGGAGGAAATGCACACGCAACAACGCGAGCACGAGCCCACTCTCTCTGAGCCAAGCTCTTGGCTCAAAGGCTCAGCCCGCGGCCACCTCCATCCGCATCCGCCCAGAGGCTGGCATCTCGACTTGCACCCTCCACCCTCGATTCTCCATCACTGAAAGCGCACGCAGCCCACAATGACATCCGCACCGGCCCGCGCATCCAATGCGCTGCTCTCGGTCAACTTCAACCAGGACCACTCGTGCATCGCGGTGGGCACGCGCGATGGCTACTCGATCACCAACTGCGAGCCGTTCGGCCGCGTGTACACCAACCAGTCGGGCGCGACGTCTCTCGTCGAGATGCTCTTCTGCACCTCGCTCGTCGCACTCGTCGCCACGTCCGATGCAGACGCCAAGTCGAACGCCAGCCCACGCCGGCTGCAGATCGTCAACACCAAGCGCCAGAGCGTCATCTGCGAACTCCTCTTCCCCACCGCCATCCTCGGCGTCAAACTCAACCGCCGTCGCCTGGTGGTGGTGCTCGAGAACGAGATCTACATCTACGACATCTCCAACATGAAGCTGCTGCACACCATCGAGACGAGTCCCAACCCGAACGCCATCTGCGCCCTCTCGCCCAGCTCGGAGAATTGCTTCCTGGCGTATCCGAGTCCCGTGCCTTCGCCCACCAGCCCCTTTGCCGCGGGTGCAGGCGCGGCGGCGGGGGGCGCGGGAGCGGCAACAGCGGGTGCAGCGGGCGGCGGGGCAGGCGACGTGCTCATCTTTGATCTGCTCTCGCTGAGTGTGACCAATGTGATCCAGGCGCACAAGACGCCCATCTCGGCACTGGCGCTCAACGCAACCGGAACGCTGCTGGCCACCGCCAGCGACAAGGGCACCGTGATCCGCGTGTTCAGCGTGCCGGCCGCACACAAGCTGCACCAGTTCCGCCGCGGCAGCTACGCGGCGCGCATCTACAGCATCAACTTTAACGCCGTCTCGTCGCTGCTCGCCGTGTCCTCGGACACGGAGACGGTGCACATCTTCAAGCTGGCATCGTCTTCGGGCGGTAGCAAGGCGTCGGCGATGGTGTCGGATGCGGCGTCGGATACGTCCAGTCCGCCCGGCTCGGCCAACGGCGGGCGCGTGGGCGGGTACGAGGCCATGATGGCGCGTCCCAAGCAAGGTGGGGGGATAGGCGGCAGTTTGCGGCGCCGAAGCATGGCGCTCGGCAAGGGCATCACGGGCAGCGTCGGCGGCTACCTGCCCAACAGCCTGACCGAGATGTGGGAGCCGGCGCGCGACTTTGCCTTTCTCAAACTGCCTACGCCGGGCGTGAGCAGCGTGGTGGCGCTCAGCGCGACCACACCGCACGTCATGGTCGTCACCAGCGAGGGCTACTTCTACCAGTACAACATCGACCTCGAACACGGCGGCGAGTGCATCCTCCAGAAACGTAAGTCCCCGTCCCCACCCCCCCTCCCGCAAAGATTGAAC